TGAAAAGTTCTTAGGCCCCGGGCCCATTGCCTTCAGCACCCGCTACTGCAGGTAGGCATGAAAACAGAGGAATAGCACAGAGGAAGAGAAAAACCCAAGGAGTATTAGATCTGATTACCTCTGACAAGCTGTGCACTGCAAGTATTAGTCCTTTTGTTATTTCCATGTCAAATGACAACCTCGGTCTACTGAATCTATCTAGAAAAGTCATAGGCAAACCACAGTCATAGGCAAACCACAGCCAGGATCTACTCCACTCTAGTGCCAAAATTTAGCTGCTAAAATAACAAAAACAAAAACACTGGTAATCGGGTGTGCTGTCCAGTACAATTCCCAAATAAGGCCCCTGCCCTCCCACAGCAATGGGTGTAGCTGCTAAAAGGCAAGCGGCCAACACAGAGCATCATACTCTTGAGTCCCTGAATCCTCCCGAGGTGTGGCAAGTGGCTTTGATTTTCACAAGACAGTAAGTGGTCAAGCCCCTCGTAACAGAGCCCCCCGCTCCTGTGCCTCCCACCTGGACTGTGTCCCTGGTGAATAGGGTCAGCCAACTCCTTGGTGTGGGAGCAGAGGAGCGAGAGCAGAGGAGGCAGAAATAACCAGCTTTGTATAAATGAGGCCACATTAGACCAGGAACAGAAGTGACAAATTCAGGCTGGAAGAAGCCATAGATAGAGCTTATTTAATCTATTCCCCTGCTCTCTGGAGGAACTGAAATGAAGCTGTTTTGAACACCTTATGGACTGAACTTCACCATTCTGCACATTTGTGGATTTAGGACTTTTATGGATTTAGCACACAAGGGTTTTTATTCTGTGAAATCATCTCCTTTTATTGTATCTCCTTTTTATCCCCTATTCTATGAACTCTTAAATTTTATCTTCAGCCACACGGGTCAAGACCCTGTCTCCCCCACTAACTACATGAGACTGCATTTTCCCACAAGCCTGCTTGAACTGGCCTAAATGGCAGGATTAGGGCATCACGTGATTCAGCGTGGGCAGAACCTTCGGGAAGAGAATCTAGCTCCAGTCAGAGCTCGTGTCTTCTTTAGAGTATTGCCAGTAAGTGTTTTCTGCGACTCTGCTCAATACTTACCCACTCAGCAAGGGAGTTGTAACTTTCTGAAGCAGCCCGCTTCCTAAATGTAAGGAGGAAGTGAGACCTGCAAAACCCTTCTTCCTTTTATTATCCCTTGAAAGAATTAAACCATGTGACTCGGTGCTATTGAGCCCAAGAGTCAGCATTTGACACTTCTCTGCCATAGGACACCAGCGGGAGCCCTACACGACCTCTAGGGACCCCATAGCAAAATGGTGACATTCTACGGAGGGACAACACATGCAACCAGCCCCACCCCTTCTCCTCCAAAGGCCTCCAAGGATCCAAGAATCTTGTGAAAGAAGTTGATCTATTCACTCAAGGGACAATCAAGCAAAGAAGACCATGGGCAAACCTTTTGTACTTTTGTCAAGGTTCAAGCCTGTTCTAGGAAACTGGAACTCTTCTTTGTAGATGTCATCCAACAGCATTCTTTTTTTTTTTAAAGACTTTATTTATTTATTTATTTGTTTGTTTGTTTATTATTTTATTTATGTGTGTGTGAGAGAGAGAGAGAGAGCACAGGGAGAGCCATAGGAGAAGAACAAGTAGACTCTCTGCTGAACACCAAGCCTGATACCGGGCTCAATCTCACAACCCTGTGATCATGACCTGAACCAAAATCAAGGGTTGGACACTTGACCAAGTGAGCGACCCTGGTGCTCCCAACAGCATTCTTAAAACCAGGATCCTACAGAAGCAGGATCCCCACACAGGATGGATCTTTAACTATCATTTCCGTGTCATGGTTGTTACTTGTGGCTTGAAATGTGGGACGTGTTGGTCCAATTGCTGTAACCTCAATCTGGGCTTCTGAAATCTAGAAGGAAAACCCATGCAGATGTGAAGGAAAGACCACAAGTGGCTTTAAATTCTATACCCTGGGCATAAAAGAAGAAGGAAGGAAATCAGCTCTGAGTGCCTGCAACAGGTAGAAGGTGTGCTTCAGAGGGTAGACAGTAGCTTTTGGAATTCATCCATTTTTCTGTCCATTTGGGAGCTGGTAATTGTGGCCAAGGAGCCCGTGAGCATGGGGCTAATGTGAGGGATGTGGGGATAAGTGAAACAAACACACATCCCTGACTTGTCAGAGTTTAAAGGGATGGTAAAGAGTTACACTACTAAAAATATTCCTTTTTTTTTTTTTTTTTTTTTTTTTTTACTAAAAATATTCTTGAAGCCAAGTTGAAGGAGGAAGGATCCTTCTAATGGAAAACTTCTCAGTCTACCTGTAATCACATACTTTATTTCACTTTGCCAACTATGGCCCTTTTGTCATGTAACCTCACATATTCACGAGTTTGGGGAACCAGACCATGGACATTTTGAGAAGGGGCTCTTCATTTTGCCTACCATATGTGTCTTGTCTGTCTTTTAGTACAAATAACCCATGTCCCTTGTAGAAAAATCAGAAAATATAGAACAGTTTAAAATGAGAAAGTGCAGAAAGCAACTGCTTTTAAAAGATCTCCATTTCTTTATATTCTTTACCGCGCTTTCTCACTTCACAATATAATGTCACCGTCCTCCCACAGGGAGAGACATAACTGTATATATCAGCATTTTAATGACTGTACAATGTTCTATTATGACATTGTGCTATAATTTCTGAACATGTAGACTGTTTCCAGTTTCCTGTACATACCAATAATGGTATCATAACATTCTTGTTCATGCACATTTGTATATTTGTCTAGTATTTTCTGAGGGCGAGTTCCCAGAAATGTAATAGCTAAGCCCACGGCTGTGGTTGCTTTCAAGGCTTGAAATACATATGGCCAAAATGCCCTGCAGGATGCTCGTGCCAATTCACACACTCCCCTGCGGAGCAGACTGTTGCTCCACATGCTCAGAACCCCGGCCAGGATCAGGCTTTAAATCCTTTATCAAACTGATAGACTGATTGAAATCCCACAATTGTTTTAATTCATATTCCTTTAATAATCAGTAAGGGTTGAATATTTGTCATATATTCTCTACTTCACAGGGTTTTTTTTTTTTTGTTACTTGCCACTTTATGTCCTTTTTCTACACTAAAGTGCTTATATTTTTTCTTACTAGGCATTGATAAGGCTATACGTGAACCTTATGCCATTTAGCTGCAGATAATTTTCTCAGTTTAGAGCTCTTTTTTTTTTTTGATAATTGACTTTTTCAGGCATAGAGCTGTCGACATTTTTTTTTTCAGTTGAATCTACCGGTCTTTTTATTTATAGTGTCTGCCTTCGGTTTCATGCTTGATACCTTGGCATTGGAAGTGTCATGGGCCTCGCCCACCTTAATATTGTATAAATATTCGCTGGTGGGGTTATTAATCCGTCTTGATTGTTCACCTAAAATATATGTTAGTGCCTTTTGCTAAAAGAATTCTGTTAAGGCAGCCACTTGAAACACAAGGATGCAGCTCCCTGCAGGGTTGACATCAGGCTTTAAATAACGGGCATGTCCTGTGGCTGTATCCAAAGGTTTGGCAGCAGTGTCTCTAATTGGGGTTAGACTTGAGGTCCTAATTCACTGTGATTTTTAAACCAAGTGACGAGACTTCAGAGAGAGGACCTACCACCTCTTTCTATTCGGTTGAGAAAATATGACTCAGCTCTTGCTCTTCATGGTGGAGCAGTTTAATTTAATTTCCCTTGTTTACTTCCCCTGCTTGTTGGATCACTGAGGTGTGAGCAGAGATTTTACAATATGGGGTCCAAGCCCATGGAGTTCTCAAGCCTGGCTGTCCTGCTTCAGGCTATGACCGAGGGGAATCACGGAGTGAAGGGCTTAAGAAGGTAGAACTTGGAGAAATTGTTGCAAAAGATCCACGGAATACTGCCCACTGCTCAGGGGAAGACATTTCTTTGTTCTCACCTCACCTGGAGGGGTAGCTGTGGACTCATTCAGCAAGTGTTTCCTCCTGAGTTTGGGCTCATGCCAGATGGAAGCAGGAAACCCAAGCTGGCATGGAGGGGCTTCTTCTTACCAGACAGGTTTCACCATCTTCTGTGAACTTAAAGATTTAGATGAAAGTCCTTTCATTGTCCTGAAAATCAAAATGAGTACCAGAACTTTCCACCAAATAGCTTCGCCTCTCCTTGGGTATGCAAGAGTATGTGGGAGTAGAGCACCCACGGAGGACAAAGCCCCACTTCTAAGGACGTCCTTGGTTCAAGTAGGAAAGTGGCCACACCCACTACCCAGTCCCTTTGCCCAACAGGCAGCCACTGAGGACCAACTTCTTCCACCGCTTTGTTTGTGCTGCTCCCCCTGCTTAGCAGGCCTTCCTCCACACCCACCTCCTGAAAGCATAATCATCAAGGCCCACCTCAAAAGCTGCCTCTAAGTCAAAGCTTTCCTCTACATCTTTCCGACCCTCTAGCCCTCCGGCCACTTCCTCCCCCTACCCCTATCGCCACCAACCCAACAGTATTGTGTGGTGGCTTTGGAACCAAATAAGCGTGGGTTTGCAATGATTCTCTTACCTAATCACTCCGTGCATTTGGAACCTTTGGAATATTGACTTAAGAGTTCTGAGCCTCGGCTTCTTCATCTGGAGGATGAAATCCACCAACCTTCTCAAGGGTGTTGTTTGGCAGATTACGTGAGATCACACATAAAATGAATACGAGCAGGTCTTTGGCCTGTAGGTGCTTATATTAAGTGGTGAGAACCATAACATGAGATAATATCACTCTCATAAAAGGGACACAGAATGCTTCAGCAGTACAGAGAAAAAAGAGGTTTTGTCATCTGGGAATGATCTGGGAAAGTAAATGGAAAGAAGGCATTAACCCTCTTGAGGAAGGGGTAAAAGTCCACTGGGTAAAGCTGGGAGCCGAAGATGAACAAGGGTAAGTCAGGCTGTGTCCAGAGAAGAGAAAATAGCAGGCTCTTGCAGAGCTATATTTTTAAAAAATAGATTTATTAACAATACTGAAGTTAAGATATAACAAAATAGGGTACCAGAGTGGCTCAGTTGGCTAAGCATTGGGCTTTTGATCTCAGCTCAGGTCTTGCTCTCAGGGTCTTAGTTTCGGGTTCCATGTTGGGCTGTATACTGGGTGTGGAGCCTATAAATAAAATAAAATAAAATAAATAAATAAATAAATAAATAAATAAATAAATAAAGTTGGTGTTTTAGTTTCAGAGCTTCAGATATCAAAGCTTTCTGAGCATAGACTGATAGCATTAGAATTATCTTTAGGAATATCAATTTGGTGACTGTAGGCTGCAGTTTAGAAGAAATCCATTGGCCAATATGCAATCACCCATATTGAAAAGAACAGCCTTAAATCTGGAGCCAATAAAGCTGACCTAAATTGTGACTTGATTAGATGGGAGACAGGGAACAGACATGACAAAGAGGATTTATTCTTGGTGCATTGGAGTATGGTGGGGCCATTAAAGAAAAAAGAAACACTCAGAGGACCACTTTTGACGTGCTTAGATGGAGATACCAGGAAGAAGGACCATCCCATAGGAATTAGAGGCAAGAGAATGAATGTTAAGAAGAAAATTGTCACCCTAGATCAAACTTAAGGGTACATTCATAAAATGAGATAGTGAAAACTGTGTGGGTGGATGAGATGCCCAAAGACAGCGTAGGGAGAAAAGAAAACCAAGGACAGAGCTTACGTGATGTCAAAGTTTAGGGAGTAGAAACATGAAACAAGATCAGGATAGAACAGTCTCATATCTAAATGTGATATTTTCTTTTCATCTGCAATATTCTCTAAGGTCCCCTTCATTTAAATTACCATCATTTTTCAAGATTCAACCAAATTCTTACACAAAACAATTATTAATAAGCTTGAATTTACCAAGCATGTGCCGGATGCCATTCACTGTATTAAAAACTCTGTACATATTATCTCTTGCCCATAAGCATATGATGCAGGTACATCAATGATACCCATTTTACAGATGAGGAATTAAGATTCAGTAAGGCTTAATGACTTGCCAAGGCTTAGCAGGTAATAAACAAACCTGGATTGTCCGACTCCACAAATGAAACTTTAACTTCCTTGTTGTACTGTCATTAAGTCATCTCTAGGATATTTGGAGTGAAAACCAAACATCTTAATTTTTGAAGCTCCCAGGAGCACCCCATTGGAGAACCTTGCTGTATATTGTAATAATTAATAGCAAATCTGGCCCTCATGTTGACAACATGGCTTTGCCTCTTAGGTCTTAGTTACCTCTTCTTCAGAGTGGAGATAGCATTTCCCTAGCAGTGCCAGTATAAAGGTCACATACATGCAGCACTAGTATAGTGTTTACATGTTTTGCTATTACAGTTATTATTGCTGTTGGGGGTGGTACACACTCCCTTTGAGCTCCAGCCTCTCCCTGAATCTATTCCAAATTTCCCTCTGTAAGTCCAAGTTCCCTGGCATCACTTACCCAGGGTGTTCTTGATTTGAGGTAGTGCCCAGCCCAGGAAAGCAGCATCTCAGAGGGGACTCGCTGGTGATGGAATGTCCCGGAGGGTTGAACACCTAAGGAAAGAAGACCTGAGGAGATAAGCCATATAGCTGATCCATGAGATCGGTCTGAGCCCCTGTTCTTTCCTCATAACAACGCAAATGCCTTGATTTCTGCTGTGGGGGGAGGTGAGCTGAGTGACGGGCGGCATGCTTACAATTCAGCTTCAAGACGCTGGGTCATGCCAGCAGACATTTCCCCTGCACCAGCTAGCTCCTGGTCTTCCCCCATCCAGAGCTGGTACATCTGCTTTGCTCGTATTTGAGGCCTATTCCCAAGCAAGAGGCTAAATCCCCTGAAGCACCCCCTCTACCAAGACCTTCCCTTGGATTTTACAGTCACCTACTCCTGCCAAACCTCACTCCCGTGCTCCACTTCCAGGAGGGGAAAGCATATGGACCACTATTTGTTGCCAAAACCGATCAGAGAACAAAACTCAGTTCTCATAAAAATTGCACAGTACCTGCTTGCCTCTCTTTGCTGACAATAAAAATGAAGCTCATGCTCAGGAAACTATCTTTCTCAAAGGAAATATTTTTCATTCGGATCCAACTCCTAACTCAGTCATTTCTCACTTGCTCAAACACCCTGATCACCGGTGGAAAGGACTATAAATAACCGAAATGATAATTTTCTTAAGGATTGTGTTTTATACACAGTAAAATCCAGATCTTTCCATTGAAACCCATTGATAATTTTAGAACTTTCCTTGCAGAGGTGGGAAATAATCCACATTATTTTTAAAATTTTAATTACTCACTGAATGAAATCTAAAAGTATTTAATTATTAGATTTGTGCCTCGAGATAAGTTCAATGGTAATTACAGGATGTCTTTTTTTTTATTCTAATTCCAAATAATTAAATCCCAAACACGTTGAACCATTATGATTATAATTAGAATAAAGGTGTCTTCTATTTGAAACCAAAGTTTGGCTTTTTGTTTAACCTTTTTGCACCTCATCAAAGGGGGATGCTTTGGAAAGAAATCCGTCTCCCTCTCTCTAATGCTATTTTAAAACAAAATTAAAAAAAAAAAATAATTGTCTGCAGGAATGCTTTTCCATTACAATAGCGGCACAGAGAAAGCAAGCCCCAAGCTCTCAGCTTGCCCGGAGGCTCCAAGGTATCCTGACTTCTCATTTCCTTTTTGTCATCCTCAGACACAGGGAGCACCCAGAAACCCGGCAAGAAGATGAAGCAGATACAGCAAGATCATCAAGGCCATGGGGTGGGGTGGGGGAAGGATCTTTGAAGTACTCCCCCCTGCCCTCCAATTTGTCGATCAGTTTTGGGGTCACTTTTCTGAGCTCACCTTCAGTTAAAGGTGAACGAAGGGCCATTTGGGGGATTGAGTAGACACCTCGCAGGGAGGTGTCTGCAGACTAGGAAATACAAAGCAAGATGCACAGAATGAGATCTAAGGAAGATCTAAGATCTAATGAGATCTAAGGATCTAAGGAAGCCTTGGAAGGTACCGAACAGGGGGGACCAGGCAAGGGTCACGGAGAACAAATGCACCTGTCCTTCCCCTGGGTTGATGGGGCTGCCGAGGAACCCCGGTTAGGGTGGCTCAAACAGCCCACGAATGGAGCTTAGGGTCCTGTGCACGTCTCCACCCCGTCGTGTTCTGGGATTTGGGAAGTGGGAAGGTGATGGTTTGTGGTTTCCAGGAGGAGGTGCAGGGTGGGGGTTCAGGAAGGAGAGGAGACGCGTGTCTTTAAAAAGTAAATAAACCCAGCGCAGATGTCCTCTCCTGGCTGGTAGGCAGAGAGGACGGCCCTTGCTCTTTGGGGAGCATCTGGAGGCCAGGGGGGTAAGAGCCTGCAAGGAGGGGAAGCAAAAAAAAAAAAAAAAAGCCATAAAGAGAAGGCCAGAGAGCAATCATAATACTTAGAAAAATGTCACATTAAAACCTCCGGCTGCCGGCGGCTGGAGGGAAAAAGAGTTCCAGACAATAGCTGAGGGAACAAGTCGAATCTTGTGTTCATTCCTGTGGTTAAGACAAGTCTGTACGACCACACAGAAAATTCCATTCGCCTCAGACCTTAACTCCCTGCTTCCCCGAGCTGCAGACACTTTTCTGTTGGAAGGCCCCTTGAGAGGACCCAGGGCATCTCTCCCACCCGGACCTTGCTCTCATCTTGCACCCTCGCATCGTGCAGATCACCTGCTCTCCTCTCAGGGGCCTCTTACTCCATTGACTCAACCCTAAGGAATGAAGCAGGATTGGGGAAAAGGACACATTCCCTCGCCACCCTCCCTGCTGCCCTCCCCCAGTGGCATTCATTTTAAACCTTGAGACCCATGGATGTCCCACGAACTTATTCACCAATTGAATAAATGTTTGTCGAATGCCTACTAGGCCTCAGGCTCTGGACTAGACGTTTGGGGAGGACAACCAAGGTCAAGCTATGGCTAAGAACTTCCAAGGCAGGGGGCATGAGAAATATGAGCATCCCTGTGCTGCTAATGGTGTGTCCGACTCGGTGACTCTTGTACCTTGCAAACGTGGGGCATCACATTCCCCTTTCCTTCTTTGGGGTTTTCGTGGGTCCAGCTGACAAGTGACCTGCCTGCTGGAGTCGGTCCTGCCAAGTATCCCTCTTCCTCACCAGTAACCCCAAGTAATCAAAAGGAGCAGTAATCTGCTCCTTTTCTTCCCCCGCTCCCCAAGACAAGCCTAGGTCCGCTTGCTCCAGGAACTGTCCCATTGGAAGAGGAAGGTTATCAATAATAGTCTTGGGTCTAAGGGGCTGAGAGGAAACAGTTCTCAATTCAGGGAGGTCTCTTTCACATACTCACGACAGGGAGGACCCACTCAGAGAGGAATAGGACGTGGGATCCAACATGTCCCCAAGTGAGAAAGTGTAGCAAGTAATCTAATGCTCTAGGAAGGGGGCAAGGTTGGTAGACTGGGGTACCTAAAGGAGATTATGCCTTCTTTCTAGTCAAACTGGGAAAGATCTGTTGCTTGGCATATTTTCTGCTGCCCAGCACCTCCAGGGAGCTTGTGATAGTGGTATGCTTACAATTTAAATAACCATTTCTCCCAAGGAGGGGAGAAAAAAGCCTTGTTTTCTAGCTTTTGCCAATCTCCATGGTGTAAACTCTCCCACATAAGTTTAGGTACCAACATAAGGCTGAGTTTAGGTACCAACATAAGGAGTTGAGAGGCAATGCCCACAAGCAGCTCTTGCTCGTTGATACAAACTAACACCAGACCACTAGAAGCTTCCAGTCTAACACACGTCTACTGATAAACACAGGACACAGTGACAGAGTCTCCTGATCAATTGGCAGATTGGCATCAGCAGGAACAGCTTTAAGCAAGCCCCAGAGGGGAGTATGATTTAGGGGTAGCAGGAAAAATGACCACGCAGCCACCGGGCAGTAGAAAACAGTACCTACAGGGGATCCCTGGGTGACGCAGCGGTTTGGCGCCTGCCTTTGGCCCAGGGCGCGATCCTGGAGACCCGGGATCGAATCCCACGTCGGGCTCCCGGTGCATGGAGCCTGCTTCTCCCTCTGCCTGTGACTCTGCCTCTCTGTCTCTCTCTGTGTGACTATCATGAATAATTAAATAAAATCTTTAAAAAAAAAAAAGAAAACAGTACCTTCATTTCCCCTTTCGGTCCCTTGGAAGCATAGAAAACCAGGGGATGTCAGAGCCAGCGAAGACCGTGCCAATAATCAAGACCAATCCCCTCATCCAGGCCCTTCCAGAAGAAGAAGTAGATCATGCAGGCACGGAATGATCTAGACAGCCTCTGCTTGGGACATACTTCCGTTGACAGGTCAGGTCTCCCTTCCATGACACTGGAGTATTGAGCAGAAATCTAAGAAACTAGGTCATTAAAAAAAGAAAAAGAATTAGAATTCTCTGGGGCCCTCTGAGCACACATTGAGGCCAAGTGACCGCCTCTACAGCTGGTGGAAAGTGGATGAAGGTGCCACCAGCAAGGAACCACAGACTCTGTTCAAATTTGCTACTCAGAGACTTGTCCCAGACACAAGCTTTTTTGCAGCACAGAAATGAACCCCCATGTCTGCCAGGCTCTGGCTCCCTTGGCTTTTGAATCAGGGGTGAGGAATACGCTCTATCTAGGAAGGCCAAAAAAAAAAAATTCCCACATGAAGAACCCCAGCAATAATTTTCTGGGCTACATCTCTTGGTCAAACGTAATGGGACGGCAAAGTCTTTGGTGCTGAGGGAGCTCCAGCTCCTTTCTGCCGATAATTCATGATCCCTGAGACAATTATGAGCAATGAAAAGGCGTAAGTCAAAGGAACATCAAGTAAAGCTAGATTTAGGAAAATAACACATTACATTTAAATATCCATATATATTTAATCTGTGTTTAATAATGCAAAGAATACATTAGTCAAGGCTTAGGCAGATTCCACGTTGACGTTAGCTGCAGAACAGCCTGGCCTTCTGAAGTTTCGCAGCCTTGGTGCCATAGAAGTGAAAACTTCTGGAGGAATGGAGCATGTCATTGCAAACCTGGGGCCTGCAGAAATGCTAACGGAGGCATTGCAGAGGTCACCACAAAGTCAGGTTCGCTACAAAAAATAGAACTCAGGGTGAGCCTAAGAAATCCAAAGCTCCAGTCTCTAGACTGACTGACTGCATTTGCCACCCTCTGCAAGGCAGGGCAGGGAGCAGGAGGTCACTTCATGGGGGGGGGGGGGGTGAGGGGAGTGGGCAGAGGGACCAGGATTGTTGTTACCGTTGTTATTTTATACTAGGTCTCCTCTCCTGTCCTCGGGCTTTAATTCTAGACTACCAGATGGGGAATGGCTGCCTGGGCCCCAGGGGAAAATCAGAACATGTCCCCAGCGGGCAATTCCCTGGGCTCCAAGGCCTTGCTGCCATCTGGAGGGGTGAATCAGGTGAGTGTACTCAAGGATGAAGGGGGAATCACAAGCATGGCCAGCCTTTAGTGTAATCATGCTTCTCCAACAGCTGGAAAGGGAACCAGTGGGGACACCATGCCAGTATATGCCAAGTGGCATCTAGGACCTGGAGACAAGAGGCTGGACTGTCAAGAAGTAGGAGAAATCCTCCTGCTTTGGTTGACCATCACGCAATATAACAATCACCAAGGCCCAAGTACTTTGTGTTTATTGCACTTTGGACAACTCCTCCCCTAGACCCAAGAGTCTCTCTCTAGGCCCACAGTTCACTCACCATCTCAACCGAGGCAGTATCAAGAACAAAGCTACAGCAAGAAGGTATCTCAGAGACTATCTAACCCAATCTTCACAGATAAGAAGACTGAAGCCCAGAGAGGCAATGCGGATCATCCAAGCTTACCGGAGCAGTAATAGGATAGCGAGGAGGGAAGCCCAAGTCTCTGACTCCATGTACAACACTGCCCCCCTGTTAAGCCCTGTTTCTAGTTCTGATGGTCTGTACTAAAGGAAGGCAAACATGCATTAAATGCCAGGCACTGTGCTAAGAGCCCGAATATATATTATCTCCAAAAGAGTAAGCACTAGCCTACCTCAATTAAGGTTTACAGTCAGATTGGAAACTTGGCTCTTGTTCTGGCTCTGCCATTTTTCAACTGTATGGTGTTAGATCAGTCATGGCACTTCCCTAGGTGTCCTTCTGCCTCTGGCACCTCGTGTGACCATCCCCGTAGTTTGTAGAACCTCCAAATGTCATTAACCGAATTGCAAAATGAGTTCTAGTCTAGTCCAGAGCACAAAGGAAGCGATGAGGAAAAAAGAAATCGAGCCCGGGAAGTGAATGAATGTGCCTCTCACAAATGCCTGGGGGAAGCAGCATTGTGATCAGGTTCAGATATGACCCAACCTATACTCTTGAGTAAGCCCTGGAACACCCTGATGTCCCCCTGCCTTGTACTCGGGAACTACCCATCCCAACTCCATTCCCTGTGAAGTCATTCCACCAGTAGAAACAGTCCAAGCTTTTTCCCAGCAAAAAGATGGTGGGTGGGGGATGCAAGGACCACGTCCCTAGATTTTGTTGTTTCAACCTTCTTTCCAAGAACTGAGCCCCTAAAGATTCCAATTATCTGAAATTTCCTCATCCCACACGGGACTCCTCCCTTGGAGGGAAAGCCAAATTACCTCTCAGTGTCTCTTCAGGTTAAGCACGACGTTGAGGAGCATGCTCATTCTAGCAGTGGGCACTTGGAAATAACATGAGCACTGACTCACCAGTCTTTCTGAGCCAGGTATTTTGAATTTGCTCAGGGCAGGAAAATGGCCAGGGGGCTGGGCTGGGGAGGGAAGGGGAGGACCCACGCAGATGATGGCTAACAACTATCCAACTCTGTTCCAAAAAGGCGAGTACAGGGGAGACTCTCAGAACATATGCTTCTGCTCTTGTTGTTTCCCTGCCAGGAGTCTCCTAAATCATCATGAAATGGCTGCTTTCTGCCTGCCTCGATCATGTATTATGGGGCATTAATAAATAATGGGAGGTTGTAGGACCAAAAAGCGGGAAAACCCAAAGGGAAGGTGATGGAGAGGCATAATTTAACAAGTAAATGAAAGAAGCTATTAAATCATAGTTAAATTATGCTGGCACTGGCAAAAAAAAAAAATGGGGGGTGTGTGTTGGAGATTTCTCGCTGCAAAATGCTTTCGATAAAATATTGAAATTTCTCTCCTGGCTGACAGAGGCATCTCCCGATCACAAGGATAGAAGTCTGTGGCCTGTCTGTGGCTCCCATTAGATACTGAGCTCAGGCATGGGCCCGGAAGAGGGAGAGTTTCTAGATGTTTCTCAGTCCATATTTTTCCTAGGATGCGTCCACAGGCACCACTTGATACCCCGTCTGGGACCCATCTCTTGCTGGTGGCCTCAGTAGCCAGGTCACTAGTCTTATGCCTATTCTCCATTGGCTCCTTTTGGCATACTTTGGGGTTCCCACCTTAGAGGAGGGGAAATACCAAGTTGTGACTTAAAAATAACTCTTGTTATGGGCAGCTTTATACTTTCTCAAGTACCGTCATAGCCGTGAACACTTTGACATTTACTATAATTCTGTTAGGTAGGAGGTCAACTCTTCCTGTGGGGAAGTCATATTTTGTTCTTATTTGTGTGCTCAAAACCCAGAGAAGTGTGCATTTAATACATACCGAATTGGATGCAGCATGCTTGGAGAGGTGAGGGAACGAATGAACTCCCGTCTTGCAGCTGCGAGGCTCAGAGAGGTTAAGTGACTTGCCCAAGACTGAACTAGACAGTGTGGGAGTTGTAACCAGCAGCAAGGCTTTCAGAATCTCAACCTGTGCTCTTTCAACACAACGTGTTGTCTCTCTTCAAGGTCACACAGTAAACTAGATCAAAGCCAGTGTACGGGACCCCTGTAAATTCACACAAGCAAAAGGCAGACTCGATTTTCTCTATTGGGATTGTGTTTTCAACTGGGGTATAGATTGTTGTTGAGCATCTGAAGGACTTTGGGAGTCTCTGTATCTAAAGGAAGTTTCTAGAATCCTCCGGCAGGAGATCCACACAGAAGCCAGAACACTTCACAGTAAGTCTGTCCCTTTCCTTGTTTCCAGGGATGTGTGCTACGGTCTTGGCAGAAAAACTTACTGCCATCCAATTTCTCAAACATGCTTGGGCCCCAAGCCCCAGTGGGAGAAGCACGTGTATCGACATGCCAGGGGAACAAAGTCACAGCAGAGTAGATTTGTTTGGACAGGCGGGCTTAGTGGTCTGACAGGGTGTGCAAGCTCTCCACGCTACCCTGCATTTTAAGACAGAGCTACTTGGCAAACATATCAGAAAGCTACGGGATAAATCTATCCGGGGTCCCTGAATGGTCAGGAGTACAGAGGTTTATGCAAACATCTTTCAAGACAGCGAAGGGACCTCTGAACCCCTTTTCAGACAGTGGCAGCTCAACCAAACTGTGAATGCTTAGGATCGTTAGACCAGGAGAGGAGATGGGAAGTTCGCTTCAGCAGCCGGTGCTCACTAGCAGGATGAGACTCTGAGGTGGGCTTTGGAATCAGAGAGAACCGGACTCGACCACTTACAACTTGCTACCTATGCAACTGTAAGCAAGGTAGCTAAATTCTTTGAGCCTCAGTTTCTTCCTCTTTTAAAAGGGAATATTTGAACCTGCTGTGTCAATCGTATCGGATTCAGCTACAAGTGACAGACACACTAAAACCCCCAAGTGACTTACACAAGTTGTGAAAGGGAAAAAATAATAATCATTTGGTTGCAGGCAGGTTTTGACTAGTAGGGTGGTTCCGCAAAACCTCAGGAATCCAGGCTCCTTACATCAGGCTGCTCTACCTTTCCGGAACGCAGTGCTTAGATCACACGGTTCAAGATGGTTTTACAGGTTCCTGAGACTTTGTCCAAAGTCCAGCCACCATGCATAAGGGGAATGCACTAGGCCTATTTTAAGGACATTTCTTAGAAGTTCTACATAACCCTTCCTCCCATAGTCTGCTGACCAGAACTGAGTCAGCTGGCCACATCTGCGCACAAAAGGGAGCTGAGAAATTTTGTTTTTATTCCCAGTGTCCAGTGTCCGTGTGCCCAGCTGAAACTCAGAGGTTCCGTTTTTTATTAGAAGGGGGGATGAATATTAGGGGACAATCAGTATAGTCTCTCATGTCTCATTTACAGAATAAAATGAGATGATGTTTGTAAATCATCTACTTTAGGTCCTAGCACGTGCTAGGGAAATGCTCATGACTGCTATGCTTAGGGTTGATGTACCTCTACCCAGGAACAGATTTCTGTGGAAAATCTCGACAATGCCTGACACTTGACTTTATCCCTGAGACACCATGAAATCCTGCCAGGTTTCTTACTGAGTTGACAGTGAAGGTCCCAATGAAGTTGAATAGTGAGCTTGGAGAGGACTCAGGAAGAGAAATAAGGGTGAGTAAAGCATTACTAAATGGGACCCATGAGGGCGAGAGTATGAAAACTGTGAAGATTTCAACTAGAAAGCAAGTGGCTTCCAGGTTGCCATACCTGTTTTGTCCATCATGGTAGCCAAACCGTTTTCCATCACCAACTGCAAGAGCAAACGAACAAGGAACAAAGCAAAAGCGGGATGATATCTGGGGTTCTCATGTATGTGGGTTTTCGTGCAGGGGATGAGATGGAGGTAGAGAGCGTACTGTCAATTTAAAGAAGATTTTTATTGGCACTTTATGGATAGCCTATAAGTATTGCTTGAATAGAAGAAGAAATGGTCATCTTGCTGGAGGAATATGGATATGAAGACTACATCAGTCAGGGTTGTCCAGAGAAATATAATCAATAGGATATACGTATAGGAAACACACACACAAAGAGAGAGAGATGTATTTATGGTAAGGAATTGCGGAGGCTGGCAGGTCCAAAATCTGCAGGGTAGGTCTGCAGGCCGGAGATCCAGGGAAGAGTTGATGTTGTGGTTTGAGTCCAAAGGCCATCTGCCACTGCCTGGAGAATTCTCTCTTCCTCAGAATAGGTCCGTATTTTTCTTAAAATACTCAGCTGATGAGATGAGACCCAGCTACACAAGACAAAGATCAGCCCTTGACATTTATGAGCTCCGAGCTATTAGAGTCATGAAGGGCCCTTCAGCACACATCCAAATCCTGAGCACAGTTCAAGATGACGCCTCTAAAACCTGGGTATGATCTTGCCTCGCTCAGCTCAGAAGACTCCAGAGGCTTCATGGCCAGACAACTTCAGCACTGGCATCTCTTACCCTCACATCACGGCCCTAACTTTCCTTTCTGGCTTTATCTAACACTCTGCCCCTGCCCATGTCCAGCACTCCAGTCAAACCTTCCTAGACTGGCTGCCTGAATCTTTTCAGTGTTTGCCTGCCTCTGTGTTTCCCTTGTGATGCGTCCTCAGCCTTGGAATTCTTCGTCCCAGCCCTCAGTCTATCACAGAACTCTTCAAACGCAGTCTCAGGCTGCCTTCACCGAGAAGTCCTTTCCTTTTCATTCTAATTTGCAAGAAGAATGATTTTTTTTTTTTTTTGGTAAAAATATTTCTTCATGCCAGCAGAGTACAAAGTAAAAGATTTCTCCGTGCCATACCTCCCATCGCCACTATCAGGAACCTGACTGGTGCCAGGTGTGAGAGTTGTGATGAGTTTGGTGAACACATGAAGCTCTCTTACCCCCAATTAGATAAGTGGAGAAGATCTTGCCAGCCTCTGAAGTGCCCTGGCACCTGCTCTCCCTCTTCTGATACTTTATCTTGTTCTGCATTGTGTCATATGTGAACTTATCTTTATTGATCTCCACACTTGTCTTTCTTCACTTAAATATAATTTAGGTGAGGGTCATCTATAGGTATATTAATCTATATTTCCCTACCACAGAGATTAAAACAATTGCTTCCCTATTTGGTTTAATTCGTCAAATGTCTATGTGCACTTGTCCCGGGCCTTATTCAGCTAGGGACCGAGGAGGAAACAAACAAACAAAGAAAAGCCACACAAGCCAGCCTTTAAGAAATCTGCAGTTTAAGTGACCTCTCTCTCCCACCAAAAAAAAAAAAAAAACAAATCAAAAAATGTTTGCTCAGAATTGTTACTGTCCACACAGATACTAACTACACAGAAGCAATAGATCCCAGCTCTGTGGAGGGGATACTCATTTGATCTGAAATTGCTTACCTGAAAGTATTTAAGAGGACTTAACAAAGCAATCATTAAATCTGAACAAATGGCAGTGACTTCAAAATAGGGAAGGGGGCAGGGAACAAGAAGACGAATCGGTGGGGAGGGGGTTAACACTGCAAAGCTCTCTAGAGGAGTGTGACTGGAGCTGGTAGTTGGAGCACCTGGGATGTTATTTATGATGCGTTGAAGGATGTCAACAGCATTCTTCTGGAGAATTCCGCCTGCAAGGGGGAAGTCATTAAAAGAGGAGGCCTCGCTGCCACACCGGAATGGATAGAGCCTTCCAGCTTCTAGTTTAATCCCTCTGACTCTGGAGATGAATTTCTTTTTCTGTTGATCTTCCCTGATCTGCAGTCATCGACCCTTATTTATATTTTCAGCCAGTGTAGCATATATAGTGAAGAGGCTCTGGTATCAGAAAGACCAGGGTTCAAAGGCCAACACTGACACACCCTCATGGGGGGACAGCTAGAGCAACTGAGAACCCACATTTCTTCATCTGCAAAATGGGAATAACAGCATCTAACACGTCGGGCTTTTGTG